AATACCTGAATATTCTTACCTTGTAATTTGATATAATATTAATTTCTAAATTTGTAGGTGTATCCATTTATTCTCGAACTTATATTTTTTAATACAGTAATTCCTCAAATTGTATTTTTTAACACAATAATTTCTAAACTTGCATTTTTTAACACAATAATTTCTAAACTTTGTTTTGGTTAATAATTGATATGGACGATTATAGAACTGTTAAGCAATTTTAGAAATTACCGTATTCAAAAATATAAATTTGGGAATAAATTGACGCATCTATAAGTTTATGAATTAATATTACACTAAATTACAAGTTCAGAAATTTTAAGGTATTTTTTTCTATTATAATTTATCTGGCAAATAAATTAGAAAGCTAAAAAAAAGTCAAAAGTGAGGAAATACAAAAATACCAAATCACGAAATGTAGAAGAGAAATTTAATGATCATTTATCCGTTAAATCAAAATTTATGGATATATTTAATAAATTGGGAAAATTGATTACTATTTTGTCTGCCACTTACCCTTGCCAAATATTCATTTTCACATTTGGAGGTGGGCACGATGCGCACGGGTCGGGTGACCATAAATTTGAGGATACCTAAACTCGAATCCGAATATCTCAAATTATGTATTTTATTATCTGAATTCGTTCCCATGAAATCGGGTATCCGAATTAAAAAAACTCGTAAGATAATTATCGGGTATCTGCGAGTATCCGGACATAAATATTTATAATTATTTTCAATTATTTTTTTAAATATACTTATATAGGGGTGTCAAAATGACCGGACCGGGCCGGGTCGGCCCGAGACCGACAAAAGCCCGAATATTTACGGACCGGGTCAGCCCGGCCCGAAAACCAAGGGCCTAAAATCTTCGGCCCGGAGCCCGATCCTATGGATTTTTTTCGGGTTCAGACCGGGTTTCGGACTTGTTTTTTTTTTTAAAAAAAAAAATATAAACAAATTAAAATAATTAAAATACAAAAAAATTTAATATATTTCGTGATAATAAAAAGATAAAAAAATATATTACAAAGTTATATATTTTGATCTAATATAAATTTAAATTAAATTTTTTTAATTTTATATGGTAATAAATTTTTAAAATTGATAAATTATTATATTTTTCATTTGGAATAATTATTTGAAATTAATAGTATTATAATTTTGATTATATCATTTATAAAAATATTATATCCTAAAACGTAGGTATGATATAATTAACCTAAACATAGTGAGGTCCATCTGATCTGACTCGAGATCATTTCTGATTTGTAGCAGGTACTCTCAAAGCAGTGTTAAACCACACTCATTTTGTTTTTTTTATTGAGGAATAAAAACATCATTGTCATTCAAAAGGTTGTGTTATGCAGTTTGAGATTATAAACACTTGCTTTCAATTCATAGAAGTGGAGCTTTCACATGCAGTAAAAATAAAAGTACATTTTTCGTTGGACCTGACAAAATTATAAAAGCTAAAAGCTTTTATTTATTTTCTTTTGTACTTTAAATTTTTTTATGCCACTAAAATGACTAACAATTAGTGTTGATGTGTTATTATTCAACATTATTTTTTTACTCAACGCATTGCACATGAAAATTTCCCACTTCATACATATAATAAATGTATGTACAATTTATTACATTTTTTAATTGTTTGTAAAATAGACATATACTGTTTTAATATTTGACAAAGCAAGATCTATCTGATTTCCATCAAATAAAACTGCTACTTATTACTAGATACAGACAAAAAAATCTGAAATCAGCTGTTAAACGGAATTAAGTTGAATTGAAAGTAAACAGAAAAAAAAACAAAATATAATTAGCTTTGTAATTAAAACAAAATTAATTATAAAAAAATTATCTAATTTTTATATTTATTTCTTTGGAATTAAATTATACAAAAAACGAAGAAAATAATCTCCAACCGCCATTAATTACTAGCTAATTTAGTATGAGCAATTTTCATTTTGTAGAATAAAACATAGCTGTCGTTAAGTTTGAGTAGAATAGTCTCATAAGATTCTTAATCGAAGACCATTAAATCTTAGTAATTGTTCCCATGAGTGTAATTTATTTATAACAAGTATTTGTAGTATAAAATTATTTCCTTCAATTTTAAGGTTCCTAACAGGTTAATAAATGAAACTAAATCTCAAATAAAAAACTCAAATAACATAGATACGTGAAAATATCTTTATATACATATATATGTTTTTGTTTTTTTGTAAAATAGAAAATTTTCCACTTGGTATATCGTGAAAAATATTTAAAAAGTTTATATATTTTGGTAAAATTTTCAGAAGTGTGTGTTTATATGGAAAATAATAAAATTTGTATTTATTAAGGGTTTCTAATTAATTATTTCTAGCCGTTATAGAGAATTGTTTTGCTTAGAAAGTTGGGGATTTCATATATAATAATAATTTTTTTTTTTGTTAAAAAGGTAAATATTTTATAAACTATAGAGTAGTTTTTATACATAAACCGATCATAGATCGAATACCCTCTACAAAAGCAATACCCATGTGCCTCAAAATGACACCATTACAATCACAAGAACGAGACAAACAAAATGTTACGCAACAGTTAACGATGTGAGAGAGTGACGTAGTACCAATCCGCAAGCAGAGCAGGATCTAACCCCCGAGAGGAGCCAAGGAGGGAATGAATGCAGTTTCGAACCATTCCATTCAGCTTATGGCAGGTTGCATCAACTGTCAGAACTTGGTTCCGAAATAGACGAGCGTTTCGTTCCGCCCAAATCAAATAGATCGAGCATTGGAGGAGGATGAGGCTTATTAGACCTCTATTTCGGGATTGGTCATTGCCCGAGCTTTCAATCCAACTCAAGATTAGGTGAAGATCCGTCGGTGGATTATCAAAGATGAGCCTAGCAAACCGAGACCAGACCTGGTAACTATAGGAGCAGAGGAAAAATAAGTGGGCATGAGATTCTACCTCGTTGTTACAAAGTAGACATGTTGTGGTCGGGACTGCCCCCCAACGGAATAGCCTGTCGCGTGTTGGCAGCCTTCTTCGTAAGGCTAACCATTGAATAAACCCGTATCTAGGAACTCCTTCTGGGAACCATGCAAGCTTATGCCACGGTACAGTAGGTGATGGCTGGCGTAAGAGTTTCCATGTGGCAGATGAAGAGAAAGTACCAGTAAAGGTGTTAGGCCCTCTTCTCCATTCATAGCGGTCGCTTCCACGGGTTGGGTGTGGTGTCGTAGTGGAGGATAACCTGATCTGTAGCTGTAGAGCTCTCGACGAGCGGGCCCCTGGGAGATTCCATCCCAAATCTGTGACAGCATCTGCAACTCTAGCATATCTGGGCAAACGTAGAAGTCGAGGTCCTTCCTCCCCCATGAAGTTTATCAACGGACCGAATTCAGTCCACGTATCAAACCAGAACGACGCTTTTGTTCCATCCCCCAACGAGCAACGAAGGAAGTAACGAGCTAAAGGCTTCAGTTGTAGTAGCTTCCTTAAATTCCATGAGAACCTAGGAGAAGGGTTGGTGTCCCAGTATCCCTTATGCCTCAGAATGTTTTTACTCAGCCATGCCACCCATAAAGATCCTGATTCCTGAAAAAGCAACCAGATCAGTTTTAATCGGAAAGTGGTATTGAACTCCTCCACTTTCCGGATGCCTAATCCTCCTTCCGCTTTCGGTTTGCAGATATCCTCCCATGCAACCCGCGCTATCCCCCTGGTGCTCGTACTGGCCCGCCATAGAAATGACGAGCACAGTCCATCTATCGCTCGTAGGACCCCTTTAGGGATGAGGAAAGCCTGCGACCATGAGTTGACCATCCCGTAGATAACAGAGGAGATGAGTTGAATCCGACCTGCATATGACAGAAATTTCGTTGTCCACATATTGATCCTTCTGCTGATTCGGTCAATGAGCGGCTGGAAGTCCGATTTTGACAGCTTCCAAGGGCTTAATGGTAAGCCTAGGTATGTCATGGGCAGTGAGCCCAACCTGAGACCTAGGGATGAGCTGATGTTCTCTGCCTCTAAGTTTGCATGTCCTCCTAAGTAGAGCTCGGATTTCTCCGGATTCATGAAGAGTCCTGATCGCCGAGCAAAGGAGGCGAGGATGTGGGTGATTTCCGTGATAGAATCATTGTCTGCCCTGCTGAAAATAATCAGATCATCAGCAAAAACCAAATGGGTGATAAGAGGATCAACACACCTAGAGTGCAGAGCAAAGCGACTCTCCCGAGCAGAAAGATCCAGCAGTCTGGTTAGTGTCATACAATGAGCATAAACTGTCTGAGTTTCGTGCTCAGAATCAAGTTTCGGCTGAGCAGCCTGGTGAATCGGCTGAGGGAGTGGGCATTATATAAAGGCCTAAAGGACTGAAAGAACTTGAACGAAGTTAAATTACAAAATGTATTTTTGTATTATTTGCATCAATATTAGAAAATAAATTAGATATATAATATTTAATTACGAAATATTATTAGTATCATACCATAGGTTACCTTTGCTTATTACAAACTGTATAATTTTATCATTTTCTCCCATATAAATAAATAGATAAATAATCATTTTTATCATATTCATAGACTCTTTTTCAAAAAAATTATGTGAAATCATACGGTGTTCCCTACAATTTATGGCGTCGTTTAGGCGAATCGGAAGGAAACTAGTATGAAACCAAAAACAAGAAAATAATTTCGAACAAAAAAAAAATAGATAAAATGAAAAAAAAGGGAAGATAATTGTACTCAATAATTCATTTTTTGTTGGTGGGGGACAAAACTCTTTTCCAATTTAAATTAGAATCTCCCCTCAAATCACATGGTCATCTCTTTTGGAAGGTATATAATATTTAATTAGATATATAATTTCAGGGGTAAAATTTATTTTTATGGAGTCATTTGATAATTTTATTTATAATCTCGAAAGATTTATAAGGAAATCGATATTTTTTAGCCCATGTGTATAATATTCACACGGACTTTACTTGTTCCGGATTATCAAAAAAGGATTAATTTATTTTCTAATATTGATGCAAATAATACAAAAATACATTTTGTAATTTAACTTCGTTCAAGTTCTTTCAGTCCTTTAGGCCTTTATATAATGCCCACTCCCTCAGCCGATTCACCAGGCTGCTCAGCCGAAACTTGATTCTGAGCACGAAACTCAGACAGTTTATGCTCATAATAGGCGTGATATGGGTCTGACTCGCTCAAAAAGTTGAATGTAGCATTGTTGGCATTGCTAGCTATAATCCTCTTCTCAAACTCTGGCCCATTTTTAGCGACGAACTGAGCTGTTTTATCGACGATATTTCTGATATCAGCAGGAGGAGCTTCAAGTGGCAATATGGGTGTTGCACCCAACATCTTCTACAACAACAAAAAGGACACCAAATTTAGTTTCTGAAAATCAGAATGTAGAAGAAAATAACTGTTAAGACCATCAAAACCTAGATAAAATCAACCCCATCATTTTAAACAGGAAACAGCTACAATCCTCTCCGATAAGCAGGCACGTTTTCCGATTAACTAGGGTTTTGCCCCAATCCTCATCCCAGCTTCTCAAGGACCAAAACCCAACACGTACTCCTACCCGACGACATACTACCGTGATCACTTCAAAACAATGAATCCAGACCTAAACTCTCAACACCATATAGACTGCATCTTCGTTTTCCCCCTTTTCACACCATTTCATAGAAAAGCAAACATACAGAGAGAGAAAGAGCGTAGAGCCACCATACCGTTACCGTGAATTAGCTTCGCCGCCGGGATAACCGCCGTAGAACCGAACGATATAGGCGGAGGAAAACCGAGTTCGAGATTCACAGAACCGACTAAAGGAGGAGGGGACGAAAATGTTCTTCAGGTGCAAAGAGAACTCTAGTAAATAGAGCCTTTCGTGAAACGGTCTGGGGATTCGGATTTGGGTTTAGGCTTATTTATTGGGCTCACAAAAGGCCTAATAATATTATGGGCCTAAATAAATCTTGTGGAAAGTTGTAAGGAATGGGTAGCTGTATCAACTAAAGCCCATTCATAAGAAAAATATATAATATAAATGTGTTCTTTTACTAATTTCCATTATTTTTTGGATCATTTAACAGAATCTACTAATATTTATTATATATCCATGTCTTATTTGGTTGCAAATATATGAGTTTTAACATTAATATGTGCAGGTACTTTTAAAATTTAGTGACCAGAAAAAGAAGTTAAATTATTTTGCCTTTTTGAATATTTTTACCTCGGAAATTATTATACCATATTTAATTCTACATAATAGCTTCGTCTGTTTCTTCTAGGGGTGTAAATTTAGACCCGAAATCCGAAGTCCGGCTCGGTCCAATTCAAAAATTAACGGACATTAGATCTAAAATTTTCACCCCGAAAAAAATTGGATTTTTTGACCGGGTTCAAATCGGGCCTTGGACTCGATTCGGGACAACCTGAAAATCCGATATTTTTTTATAAAAAAAATAAAAAAATATTTACAAAGAAAATATGCGGACTACCCCGATCCAAAGTCCAAAATATATAGGACCGGACTTCGAGTTTAGTGACATGGGTCCGAAAAAAATTGGATCGACCCAAAAGCGAATCCGAAACCTTTGGGTCGAGCGCGGGTTCGGACCGGCCTGATTCACACCTTAGTTTCTTGAGTTTTGTACGGTTGGGTCATCCATTTACATTGAGCCTGAGCTGAAGATCTGTCACTTGGGTTCATATATTTGAATATTCTTAGGCCCATATATTTGTGTGTGTGTTTATATGTGTGTGTTACCTTGTAGTAATTAGTGCGCTGCTAAATTTTCACACACTTTATTTTAGGCCGTGAAACAAAAGACAAGAGTGGCTCAGATCGGTTTATTCGGGTTCGGGTTATTAGGGTTTAAAATATTCATATCCAATCGGATAAATAATCTTAATCGGTTCGGTTCGGATTCGGTTCGGGTTTTTTCGGGTTCGGTTCGGATTTATCCAAACAAATAATCGATAAAAAATTCTATAAATGATTTATAGAAAATTAACAAAAACAAACGTTCATAATGTCATTTGTATAAAAAACAACCTAATATTAATAATCGCTTATCATAAAAAAAAAATCAAACATAGACTTCTTCAATAATCTTCTTGAACAAAACCTTCATGTTGTGAGCTTTGTCACCAACCGCTTCTCCCACTTTAACCAATTCTGGATTTTGTTTATCGATATGTTAACAAATAAAACAATGATGCTCCACCCAATTATCCAGTAACTATTACCGAGAATCAATAGGAAGCAAATCCCATATTGTAATCTTTACATCACAGTTACCTGGAGACAATTGTAAATCAAACGCAATATTCTCAAACCTTAAATGGATCGAAGCTCTTGAATCAAAAGACTATACAACCCTAATTTTTTCCCATCTTCTCGTCGCCACCTCAGCCATGGCCACCGATGTCTTAAACTAGATCCAAAAGCATCAGAGTAAGAATAATTCACCTCCCAAAAACTGTAAATGCTAAGCCGGTATTGCTTCTTCTCGCAATACCGGCTTCACTAAGAATATGCATAGTAATCAATTAGAGGCTTGAATCAATTTTACCAACCATATTTTCTCAGGGATAATACAAATAGGGGGGATTCCGAAGTTTATGACACGAGCATGAAAAACTCGTCCAGTTATACACTTCATAGAGTTCGAATCCGTCAACATTTCGGGTTTTCTAAGAAAGCAAGCAGGAACGAGCAAAAGAGACCGCAAACCTTGTACTGAGGATTACCGAGAAGATGCATGAGACGCTTCATTCGACCTAGTTCGAACTCGTCATCGGAATCCGTCCCCGCTCCCTTGGGCACACCCGATTTCTCGTAGTTCTTCAGAGAATCCAGAAACTTGATCAAATCCTTCATCTCTGGATCTTCAGTGCACATCGGTACACACCGCTGTGAGCTCAATTTCGCAGTAAAAACTCTTCTGCTGATGGTTGGTATTAAGCGACATAAACTGACACATATTGCAACGGTTTGTGTACAACTGGGAGACAAGTGTAGAAACGCACATGAACCTGCAAAGTGTCAGATAGATAGTAGGATTGTTACGGGATCATCATTATTATTTGTTTTTCTGAGGTTGTTTTTCATTGATTTTATTCGTTATGTTGCCCTACGGTTGTTTTGTATAAATAGAGATAGAGTTGTACATGTTAAAGTGTGAGAAGAAATACAAGAAGAAAATTCCTGAAAAACTCTCTCTTTCTTCTTACTGTTCTTCGTGTTCTTCAACCCATTTTTTCCAGATTTCCTCTGTTTCTTCTTATGGTATCAGAGCGAGCGATCTAACTCTGTTACTTTTCTATTCTCTGTTCTCTTGTTTCGTTCTTCTTTCATTTCGTTTCCACTCACACCATGGATTCTCCCATCACACCGCAAACCCAGACTTCCAGTGACCCTGCTTCTCAGGTCTCTGGGGAACCATCCTCTCTTGCTTCCTCCCAGATTCTCACCGACCCTTATGCGAACCCTCTTTATCTTCATGCGGCTGACTCTTCTAGCCTAATCCTTGTCTCTGACAAACTTCTCGGCGAGTCCAACTACAACGTGTGGTCTCGTTCGGTTACGAAAGCTCTCCTTGCGAAGAACAAACTCGGTTTTGTTCTTGGCACCGTTCCAAAGCCGGCTGAGGATCACTCTGATTTTGGACCATGGGCTCGCTGTAACGCCCTTGTGTCGACTTGGCTTACTAATGCTGTCTCCCAAGACATTGCTAGTCTTATTGTGTACCTGGATGATGCCTCTGCTGTGTGGAAAAGTCTGGAAACGCGCTTCAAGCAGAAAAATGCAACCAAGATCTACAACATCCAGCAAAAGCTTGACAACCTACATCAAGGCTCGTTGGATCTGAACAGTTACTTCACCAAACTCACCTCACTTTGGGAGGAGCTTAAGAACCATGAACCATTTCCTGTTTGTACGTGTGGTTGCTGCACTTGTGATCTGGGTTCCAAGTGGACAGATCTCATTGAACGTCGCCATGTGGTCAGATTTCTGATGCGCTTAAACGAATCCTATACACCAGCTCGTCGTCAAATCCTGATGATTGAGCCCTTACCCACTCGTTTCTCAAGAGGAGCAACAACGCTTTACTCTACCTCAAGCCTCTGATGCTGCAGTATTCCAGACTAGTGCACATTTCTCTGTTCCGAGATCTCGCCCCCTGCTTCCTACTCCTTCACAGCTGCCATCTCCTATGATATTTCCCAACCGACCCAGGATCTCTTGCTCCCATTGTGGTATGCCAGGTCATTTGGCCAGCAAATGCTATAAACTCCATGGTTATCCCTCTCACTTCAAGGGACCCTCATCTTCTGGAAATCAGTGGAACAACCGCTCTGGAAATTCCTCAAAACCTCGTGTCTTCCCTGGTGATAGACAAACTAACCATGTTAATCTTGTTAGTAATGTTCCAGATTCAGCTCCATCCTCGGCCAACACTGGTTCAGGCAAACCCTCTCTGGAACAAGCGCAGTCTCTGTTGGCCCAGTTAACAACTCAGTTTCAAGGACTTAGCAGCTCTCTCAATGCTACTGAACCTGCAGCGTCAACCTCTGCCCAACCCCTTTCTTCAGGTATAACCTCTTCTTTTTCACACATTCTTTCTCACTTACCTGATTCTATTCCCTTAAAACCTGTGATATGGATTTTAGATACTGGTGCTTCTAGCCATGTTTGTTGTGAAAGAGCATTGTTTTCTGTCATATATCCGATTCCTACCATTAATATCACCTTACCAAATGGAACTCTTGTTCCAGTTACCCATTCCGGAACGGTTACACTCTCTCCTCTTCTTACACTATACTCTGTTCTCTTTGTCCCGACTTTTTGTTTCAATCTCATAAGTGTAAGTGCTCTCACCAAGAACACTCCATATACTGTCACTTTTTCTGATCAAACTTATCTCATCCAGGACCCTATTCGGGATTTGACGATTGGAAAAGGTGATCAATGTCATAATCTCTATTTTTTTGATATGCTGCCTTTTTCTTCTACTCATTCATCTCTTTCTCTTTCCC